GACCGTAAAGCACTGAGCTGCCTAACACCGGGCCGGGGGTGGGGGGGTGGGGGGAAACCCCAACCTTGCAGGCAGAGTGACACAAGCCAGGACTGCCGGGCGAGGAGGAATGAATGGAATAGGCTAATTTACACAGGAAGTGAGCACTTACCAGACCCTTCATCCCAACACACAAAACCCTCTGCCATATCTGGAAGCAATTACACCCAGTTAACATGATCTGCCTGCCACTAAAATTAACTGCAAACAGAAATATTTTTCACTTTTGCAACAGGAGATGCCATGGCCCCGTGTTTGGCTGCCGGGAAATATTTAGTAATTACTCATTTAAAGCCTCTCTTGAAGCTGTCAAGGAGGGGGGGGAGGAGGAGTAAAAGAAAAATCTTGCTAATTGCGAGCAAAAAGGAAAATGCAGATCGTTTTACTCTATCCAAGGAAAACAGATTTACGCACCGGTATAACTAAAGAGCCAACATCGCGTAGAAGCGGGGAAGGCTGCAGGGATGCTCCGTCACAAACTGCCCAGGCTGCTTTGCACCATTTCCACATGCCATGGGGAAAAGAAAAGAAAAGGAGGAAAAAAAGAAAAAGGAAAGAAGAGAGTCGATAGTGTCACCCCTGAAACAGCACAGGCTCTCTGAGGGTCCCTCTGCACAGCCAATAAACACTGTTTTAACTAACATCACTGTACGACTTACGACGAGAACTGAAAAGGCTCCGCAAAGCTTATCGAACTGCTGCAAGCAACGTCAAGCGAGCACGCTTGGGGGGGGGAAAACCCATCCCAACACTCCTCAATCAGGCAGTTTTTTAAGCATCAGGGTCCCAGCCCCGCGGCCGATGGGGAGCAGCTGGTGCAGATCCACCCGCCCCGGTCCCTGGGAAACGAGCAACGCTGGGGAAGGCGGATGCACCCCGCTCAGGGGGCCCGCAGCATCCCCATCACCCACGTGGAAGCCCCTCTGCCGCCAGCCTCGCCGTCGGTAGGGAAGACACGAAAGTTACTACTGAGCAAGGGGAAAAAGGAATAAATTAAAAAAAAAAAAAAATGTTGGCATTTTCTGATGGGAATCTCAGAGTTCTGCTTTAAAATGCGTCAGCCACACAACTAAAAGGATGCAGAATAATTGACGGAATAACACGGAAGCCGAAGGGGGCTTTTCCCCCTGCACGCTAGGAGACAAGTATGGAAACGGTTAAGTCCCCCACTGAATAAATCAAAAGTTCAAGGCTGCAACATACCACGGCGTATTCCCCCTCTGCCTATGACAAGAACCAGAGAGCCCCGAAATCCCAAGCATCCTGAGCGGGGTCTCCGCCGGCGCTCACAGGTTACACGCTCGGGGTCAGCGCCGCGGACCTTAGCTGCAACATTCATTTCCTGAGCGGGGCACGTCCCCCTGCCCATAAAGCTAATAAGAGCTTCCTCGCCCGGCCGCCCCGCGCTGCCGGAGCCGCGCGGCAGCGGCCAGGCAACCGGGAACGCTGGTTTCCATTAGCCCCTTATGATGCCAGTTGCCGCTAATAAGGCCCATCAGCAAGAAACAAGAGCTGCCAAGTCGTCTTCGGACTCTGGAAGTAATCACGGGCAGAGTTTGGGGGGCTGCTGGCTTCCCCCCCCCCCTTCCCTCCCCCCTTGTTTTCTATTTTTCCTCCTTTTTTTCAAGTTTCGATTGCAGCGGAACATAAATTGCCGAATACTTAAAATAAAATAAAAAAAAACTACTGTATCAGGCTACCAAAATTAACACTAATAACATCTCACAAAGCACTTGGGATCCGATTTATCACGTTTATTGCTTTAATGGTATACTGCATCTGTTTCTCACTGTGACACGTCGAGCAGTGCCAACGTGCCTAATGGCATTAGTAGCACAACGCTCAGCTAATCCAGGCGGAGACGAATGGAGGTGAGGCTGGCGAAGGAAGAGCCCAACGCCGGAATATTTCCCTACGCAGCTACTTAAAATTTGCCAGGGCACTAACGTCACAGCTCCGCGCAGGCAGCAGACCAACAGGCTACGCGTCAGGGGGATCGCCGGGCGTTGTAACTGGGACCTGGATCCCCACGGGAAGCCGTGCTTTCCCCGAGCAGGAGGATTTTGGACCGGCGGGAGCATCGACGCCTGGTCTTGGCGCACCGGACCGGTGGGAGCACCGATGCCCGGTCCCGCCACACCGGCTCTGCTGGGAGCAGTTAGATCCGCCGCTCCTCTGCGCTTCAGAAATGGGAAGAGAGGGCAAAACTTTCCAGTTTGGGGTATTGTGGCTGGTCAGCAGCCAAGGAGGAAGAGCAAGCCTCCTTATTCCTACCCTTAACGCACTCCACCGGAGCACACGCCTTGTAGGTGCCCGCTCAGCCACGAAGCCTCAAAATGCAAAACTCAGATGTGAAAATGCGAACGGAGGCTTTCCCCAAGGTGCATCCCCCCGTACGACAGCGAGGACAGGCACCTTCCAGCCAAAACTGCTCCAAGGGGAGCGTTCACCCGCCGCCGGCCTCCACTGGCCTGACGACTCCATCGCCAAGAAGCACTTTCACTTTTCCAACCGAGCATCTCCATCTCGCACAGACACACGTGGCAAACGCTGGCAGCAAGCGGCATCGCTACGGAGGGCAAATTCCCGGACAGCATCGGGATTCTGGATGCTCGGCCGATCCGCTAACGAACTTTATTGAATCGCACCCCCACCCGCAGTCTGCCCTGTTGCTATCGACATTAAAAAAAAAAAATGAAAGCATGTCTTTTATAAAGTTTTAAGGTATTTAACTTCCTGATGACAAATTACTCCAGGCTCAGCCGGTGGCTCAGCACGGCACCCGCGTCGCAGCTCGGGAGGTTTTTCTTCAAAACAAACAAATGGAAAAAGGGACGCTGAACTATGGCTTTTTTGTCTGCAATTAGAAGCGACGATCGATACTAACATTAGATTAAGTTTGAACTTTGCTGAACTTAGAAGGAAATCTTTTATAAAAAAAATTAAAGAGTCGCTGGCTCAATATACACTCAATTAGTCAAAATCATAAGCTCGGTAAAGAAGAAAAAAAAAAAAATGGATCACGCAGCAGCCAGCGGGTTCAGGGACCCGAAAACCCCGGTCAGAGTCAGCGCCGAGGCTTGCAGCCCGTCGGCCACCAAAAGGTCACAACTCAGCGCTCTCGACTCGCCCGCGTTACGACAGGGCACAGAGGGTGCTGCCACGAGGCCGAGG